TTTAGTAAGTAAGTAAATAACAAAATAAAATTAATGGAATCGTTGTCAGAGATGGGAACAACTGTGTTTGGAAACTAGGTGAACAATATAACCATCGTATTTAAAATTTTAATAATATTTTGTGTAACGTAGAAAATGTAATTATTTTATTTATTTCTCGTCTTTTTTTAGCTGTTATGTAATTTAAATTTTCATCGCAATACTATTCTAGTATGAAGTAATTCCTTCAAACACCAAGAAAAATTCTCCTATCCCAGTGAAATAGATTCTAGATAACCTAAATCATTGCTATAATATTTCAAACGCTGCTTCGAGATCCCCAGTCCTTACAAAACTGGTCTCACCTGATTCCAAGATTTCGAGTATGCTATTATTCGACTCCCCACGTAGTCTAAGTGTGAAGTAATAGGTAGAGATCACAATACAAATTTCCAAGATCTCCATCGTGAGAGTGCACAATGGTACGATTCAGATCAATGTGTTCATCATTTTAAACATGCTTAGCACGACAATATCGGTGGATTGCTGAATGGTAATAAATGTAATCCTTCTTTTTAAGATCATTAATGGATCAGGTGCTCGTGCATCGTTAGTACGCCTCGTTAACTTTCACGTGCCACCTAGAGACGCTTTAGGAGAAATCTAATTTCTCACTGGCTATCTTATAGAGCTATGATGATCCCATTAATCGCATTGTTTCCCTTGGCAATAATCGTGCGAACAATTTGGAACTCTCCTGATTCTGCTTCCAGATTATTTATTATTATATCATGTACAGGTGTACAAACTTTTTATTTGATCAAATAAATCCTTGTCGAGAATGTATAATTTATGAAAGAAAAATACATAATTAATCAATGTACTGCAAACCAGCTGGTCCATAATAATTAATTAATTTCGTAACGTTTTTAATTCATTTTAAAACAGACTTATTTAAAATAGTGAAACCAGTTAAATGCTTCAACTTATAACGCATATCTAACGTAAACAGGTGCAATGCCTCGAAGGGTCAATAATCCTCAGAGTTCAACAATTCTTCCGTTAAATTCGCACAGCTCTCTGACACGATTTCCCAGATCATCGTCGCGGCAACGCCAATATTTCTCGCTCGAATGGACCATCTGCTCCCATTGCTTGGCATTGTGACCAACGGCCATCGGAACGCAGTCTCGACTCCATTTCCATAATTTATCCGTCCACGGAAGCGCGACAGGTGGCTCGAATTCCCACGGTTAGCGTTGATTCGATCGCAGATCCTCCGCGGACTCGATGACACGAATCCTTACCGCCTCGGCATCCGGTTTGCCGCGCGTACGATTAATCCCGGAGTCTGACGTACCCCAGCCGACGAATACCGCTTTATAACTCAATAGGGGATACGTAGCACCTGACGCACGAGCTTTTGTATACCTTTCGAGCGACTCGACGCGCTGATCTCGACGCTGTCGATACCTGCTTAGGCTAATTCATCGTGCACATTGTGACGCGAACAAACAAGGCACTTCTATCAAAGTAGGTACAGTTGTTGAGTTTATTTGAACGTGTTCAGTCTTATCTTTGATATGTTATACTAATAGAGATAGAATTGATACTGGATATTTTCTCATTTATATATGGGAGAACAATTAGCTTTCCTGTAATTTATAATAATTATTGCAGGCGGCACTTCCGCAAACTGACTAGCCTATAACTTCCTTCGGGTCACAAAGAGCAGCTACAAGAAATTTCATCAGGATTGGAAGAAAACAATAGAAGTTATAGAGAAATCACAAACCCCTATCTTGAATTTTTATCGTACCAAAGGGTTCCAAACTTTCGCACCGTAAAACTTCTAAACAAATGACCCCACGAAAAAGATATGTCACACATTTTTTATAGGAAATTTATCTATCTTCACTTTTTATACTAAGCATTTTGCAATGAATACAATAGACTCCAAAATAACTGAAACCTAATGGGACCTCGTACACTCGATTGGACCAGGAAGAAGGCATTAAAGGGTCCTGGCCAATCGGTAAGGAGGATCAGCGAGGTTTAGATCGAGTTACCGTGTATATAAGTTCTCGATCTTGATACGAAATGCATACACTGCTCGTTCCCAAGAAAATCGAGGCCATTCCTGGCGGTCTGAACGCTGAGCTTCCCGAACGGAGCCTTCAGCCATCTGTCTGCTTGACTGATCGGTCAACGTACTCTTCGACAATTCTTGCCACTTATTCCATAGACGCCGGGTACACGCCGCGATAGAATCTAATCCGAACGCACGGGATCCTCCTGTGTCTATGCTTTCCGAGAATTGTTCAACGGCGTCTGAATAGCGTTTCCAGCCGTCGCGTGTTCCTCGTTCGTGGAATTCTGATCGAACGGGAAAACGTTACTCGAAGTCAATGGCGCGCCCACAAATTCAAGAGGATGCAACGGACAGGTAACACGCGTGATGATATTACTTACGGTGGGCAGAATTTTATTAAGGGCAATGGAAACAAAATTTGGGTGGGTCTTCATATGTAGAGTTTCAGCTTGAGATTTATTCGGAGGACATTTTTAGGATAACAGAGGAACAGAAGAAAGTGTAAGTGTTATTTATTGATAATGGTTAGCTAACGATAAAGAAGAAATTAAATCTCAGTTTTCTTCGTCATCGACCCTTCTTCTTTCAACTTTGTATAACACTTACACTTTCTTCTGTTCCTCTGTTATCCTAAAAATTCTCGCCAATAATGAATTTCTTCTTTCTTTAATTTATATTCTCACATTCGATCGGGAATCATAGTTAACAGAACAACAGCAAGGATATTTCTCGAATTAATTCCTCGGGTTAAGGAAAATTTGTTATGTAAGGGTTTCCCATAGGGAGCTGATAAAAATCACTTCCTCTTAGAAACCGACTTTAACGCTACCACGTGTCATGTATATGTAACGCGTCGATTCCCATGAGAGGCCAACGTCATGTATGTGTGACAGCAACGATTTTCTATTGTATGTCCATCTAAATGAATGAAGTAGGAAATCGTATTATTCGAATCATTCATGTGTGCATACAATCAAAAGCAAATTTTGACCAGATTCGAAAGTTTCTGTCACCTTTTTAGACACACATTGAAATATCATGCCTGAAGCATTCCTTTCTTTTTAAAAGGAATCAGCACTCCTAGTCGAGTTTATAAAGTTATAAAGCGTTTAGAACTCAATTGTTTTTTTTTTCAAGGTTATCTAAGTGTGTCACCTCTCCACTTGGAGCTGAGAAAGACTCAAGCCTCCAGACGAAGAATTCTAGGCAAAACGGGGGATTGTCTTAAACTGTTACAATCAGTGCAAAAAAATACAGAGAGTTCCTCTGCCTCAACAGTTATTTCCCACGCATTGGAACCGCTAGGTAAAAGCGTAGGTAACCGTGGAGACGATTAAAGTTACGCTATTACACTGGAACGAAGTGGCTAATAAGATGGTAAGTGGTCATTATGAAACAATTGTCAAATAATTATACTCGACGCCAGCAAAGGTTAATTGCTACTAAATAAATCTCTCTTTCTGCCATTATGAATACCAGCGATTAGGTGGTTTCATACATATGTACATGTATGGCACATACACGTGCCAGTCAACGTGACAACTGTCAAAATTAATAAAGAAGATCACAAATGCAATCTAAGCATTCGTACACCTCATTATTAATTCGAGTTAAGTTTTTATTCAGTAAAAACCTTGAAGCTCATCCAATCGATGTTGTTATGCTAATCGCAACTGCGAGATGAAAAACGTGAATCGTGTTTCGTTCCAAGTTTCACGCCAATGAGAGTAGATACAGTAAAACAGAGATAGTAAGAACGTGTAAAGCTGCGGCTAATCGTGTCAATCCAGCTGCTTTATTAAAGCATCAAGTGTTTCTTCCCATATTCATTACGGGTCAATGATTCCGTGAACACCCAGGAATTGAACTGATTCCTCGCCCGTCGATGTACTCCTGAGAGGTAACCAATGAAATAGCGCCTCGCAGGGAAGATTAACGAGTAGAAAACGGAAGGCGAACAAGTTTAGATGGAATTAATGAGCTGGCACGGTTGTTTCAGTGCAGAGTTGCGCTTGTTTGCCTTGGCAAATTGAGTCAATTACAAATACCTTGGACTCGAATAGCTTTATCAAGCGGGAATGAAGTGGTCTAACCTACTATTGCAACGAATTTTTACTCTATTTGATGTCGCATACATGTGTTTCGAACAAGATTACATTGACGTGAAACGTTTTCAGTCAGCATTATAGAGAATTAATATATAATGGCTAAATTCCCGTACTCAAAATTTTATTATTATATGTACGATATTATATTTTGTGCAATTATTATACATAGAAGGACGTGAAATGTAATTGTTAGACTGCGGATTTTTATGCGTAATAAAATCTTCGCGAATGTGCCTACAAAAATTGAACCTAAATAGGAATTTATTTTATTCTGCAAATATTATAACATGAACTTTACTTTTAATCTTTTTTATATTCTCGCACATTGTTTGCATTTAAAGGTTCTTGCATATCCAAATTTCCTATAAATGCATAAAGATCCGCAGTCTAGTAATTATAAACTAGCATATTCGAATGATTATTCGAATTTGATTACATGCTTTGAGACGGGATTTATTCACGACTTATTCATACGTTCCTTAATGAAATAATACTCGCTCTAAATAACAAGTGGCTCGATTCTGCAGAATTGATCAATCAATCCGTCTTATCTCGAAGACGGTTTACGTTAACTAAGTGCAATAAATTGTGCAGTAATCTACAATAAACGAGAAAACGTGCGAGATATGATATTTTCATTCGGCGTTAAGTATTTATTTTTAAGTCCGCGAGGGAAGGCATTTTAATTTGATTTAGGTGTACGTGATAAATTAATAAATCTATTTCTATAACGGAAAATCCTTTTTGCAACTGGTTACAAAATAAAGTTTCGTTTAATAATTAGGGCGGAAACTTTGGTAAATAATCGTGAGGATTCATACCTTCACTGCGAAGGTGCGATGTCCGTTTAGATAGTGGACGGTTCCACTTGGACTAGAATCTGTTTGGACTGCCTCTGAAACAGGAAATAGTACTTCAGTTAGCATTTTGGCAACGCTGATTATTTACTCTGAATGAAAATAGAAGAAATGGAAGGAGCACTGATTGGAAAAAGGAAGAAGTGATGAATAAAAAAGAGAGAAATTAAGAATTGGGTGAAAAGGAGAAGACATGAAATATTTACTTGAAAAAAGAAAGGTAAATGAATAAAAGGGAAGATTAACCTGCGGAAGTAAAAGCACCTAGGTGCAAAAGTGAGTCCACAGGTGTTATTAGCCTATCCACGTTCACGATGTGCTCCAATGGCACAAACGATCCTCAAGGATGAATGCACGAACTCTTTACCATTCGAAGAGAACGGTGAAAGACGCATCGTTCACCGTCCCCAATCGAAAAGGCGATTTCAATTCCGATCTGAAAGGACTACCCGGAAATCCGCGACGATCAAGGCTCCGTTCTTCTTTAATCGTTCCTCTAGCGAAATCGCGAAATCATCCAACGATATAGAAAGTACCTTAAACTGGTTATAACGTGTCCCTAAATTAAACGACGTTCACCAGGAAGAATTGAGACCATCTCGGTGCTTACACCAACGCCTTTCTCCTCCCATTAAAGGAAATTTACATCTTTGAAGCGACTGGCCGTTTTGCGAGTTCACGCGTCGATAAAAATCCTCGACTCCAGTTGAGATTTTCACACGCGGGAAAGGCGATCCGAAAGTTGCATCGATCGATAGACGGGTGTGCATTACCCAACGCGACTCGTGATTAAAATTGCGCGAAACATAAATCGAAGCTCAGCGCGTTCTTCGACGTCCAATCTAGATTCATCCCGTGGATCTGTTTTCTTTTAATTTACATTTTTCACGAGCAACTGATATTTAAATAGTGGTAGTCCTAAAGATGAAGTGGTTCGTGCGGTTATGGGATGGAGGATAGGAATATGAAACAGTTTCATAACTAGAAAGTCCCGATTTGAATCCAGTGATCGTATATTTCTACTTTTTTTTTCATTTTTTGTATTGTATAATTGCATTGCTTATAAAACGATCCTCTTCTACATTCGTACTACCTCAAGATGTGAACTTCTCTTTCTAATCGAAGAGTGCTCCTTTTGAATTCCATTTCCATGTGTTTCCTTGATCCATCTCTGACATTCCACCTGGAACACATCATTTCACATCCTTGGAACGAATGTTGCCAGGAAGGAAGCCAAGGAGACTCGAACCCTCGTCGTTGCTCGGTTCCTTTCCTTTTGCGATGATGGGAGCGGTAAACTTTCTAGATATCCGACGGCCAGGGCTCTCGATTCCGCTCCAAAGATCGTTGATCTTGGCCGAGATCTTCGACGACCTCTTAATCACCGCGAGCTCTTAATTCGAGCTTCGACGTTTCTCATTAAAGGAAGTGCGCCCTTTCGGTGTCTTTCGGTTCCGTTCCTGCCAGCTGTTGGCACGGCCAACGTCTAATACGGATAATTACTCCAACGAGTTTATCCTTGATCGAATAATTTACAGTTGCTACTCAATCGAGAGTCTTTAGTGTATCAGTTTCTTTATCTTTAGGCTATCGACAGATTTTATTTTCCGATAATTAGAAAAATAGAGAGGGAAGATCTTCGCTAATAATAATTTGAAACTGAAAGAGGAAATGCTTCTCCACGAAACTGGCAGTAAATCGAGCAAGAATGTATTTCTATGTACAGAGATTACTCCCAATGACTTTCACAGTCTCATCAATCACATCAACGAAATTATGAGACGTTCCGATTGCAAGCTGGTGAAATAACTATTAGTCTAGCGCAAGTAAGAAATTGAGGAAAAATGATATAGCATGACTAAAAATTTTCAATTTGCACACGGTCTTTGAGTCGAAAGTGAAAGTGATAATTTTCAATCAGGAGCGAACGCAGACGCAACGAAGGAGAAAGCAGATGGAAAGGATTCCCGTCTTGACCACCTAGGTGAAAATATAGCGACAGTCGATTAATTAAATCGTTGGTAAGGAGTGGGCTATGTAAATGAAATGTATGGGAAATAATAATAATATTGCTTACATATAAATTCAATTATACGATCCATCCTTCATCTATAGAGCGTCCCGAGACTATTTTTGTTTAGGATCAATGTTAAAAAATCACGTTTTTAAATGCTTAGTAATTAGGAACAATGACAATCCAGTTGAACAAAAATAATAATTTAAATAAGAAGAAGGGTGTTCTCACCAGTTATTTTATTTCAGTGTTTCATAACGGTCTAATTATTCTTCGTTTAATATTTTTAACTAATCTGATGGATGCTTCAAATAAATCAAGGCTCTATCTTTAGAGTCTCAACCATGCAAACTTTGAATTTGTCTACAGAGTTAATTTTCAATCAGGAACGATAAAAGAGAATGCAGATGGTAAGGATTTCAATTCTGCCAATTAATTAAATTGCTAGATCGCCCCCTCCTTTTAATAGATGGCGTCGTTTGTCGAGATTCCGCATTTCGTGTAACGAAACTCGCCTAATTACAGTTCGACAAAGATCGAGAGCTCGTTACGGGTTCGGCGAACGCGATCGGCTCGATCTGATAAGCCGTCGACGCGATCGGTTATCTACAGCCTGTAATAAGATACGCGCAACCCCCGCAGCCACGTTAAGGTGGTTATCGTAACGACGTTACGACTCCGTCTGATGATAATTAACGGAATTGAATTAACCGTTCGACGAAGGCATAGAGAAAATGCCCGTGGCACGAATACGCCCGATAAGAAGCGTGACGGCGATATTTGTATTAAGTGGAATCGATCGGTAGATCGATACTCTACCTTAAGGAGAAAAAATACATTAAAATTCCATATATTAAACGTTTTCGTGACTTTTTTTTTAAGGAGAAAAATTCACTTAATATTACTTTAATTTTGAGAATACTTTAGATGTGTCTCAAAGTAAATATATATGGTAAGTTTGTTAATTCATTTCACACAGAAATCTTTGAAATATCAGCTGCCTAATGTGGTTTCTCCCTTTGAGGTGAGTTTGCATCTGCACCTCAAAGGCAAACTAATGCTAGAACCTCGTCGCGTTAACAATTTCCTGTTTAACCTTGGCATGTGCGCATTCCCGACGACCAACCTCTCGTTGGACAGCATTTCCTCTTTTACATAACTTTCTTAATCACGGGGAAAACGTGGGAAAGGTAATTGACATGAATATCTCAGTAGTTTTGTCATAGAGATCGTTTATGGAAGCTACGAACGAGATCGACTCCTTTGTTCCATCTGTCAAGGAAATTGAATGATAGAAGCGATGATCACTTCCTGTTTAGAATGCACGTGCTCATCGTGTGCATTATTGGGTCGATATGGAGTAGTATCATTGGGAATTAGTATGGATCGAATAAGCAGACCGTGAACGAGACGAAGCAATTCATAAATTGAATGCTCTATTTACAAGGAGTTTATAATTTGAAACAGGATTTTCTACACAGAAAGATGCGTCAATATCCTGCAAGAGTGTCTGTGTCGCGATCGCAGTAGATTAAACCAGTTCGTGATCAGACCGCGTTGCACGTCCACGCGATGTTCCGCGTCCTTTCGTGACGTAACGCGCTGAGATCAGAGGCGATCGATTAACGATGCTTGGATCCTTGGAGATCCCTTGAGCCGATTTGTCGCGCGTGTGAAAACCACTCTACGAAATTTCACGGCCTTCCTTCGCGTATGGGAATCGTGTTAATCGTAACGTACTTGGCGCGAAGCTACATTATTTTTATCCGTTGGACACGTAACTTATTTTTAATTGGGGATCTGTGTGAGCTTGAACGCGAGTCTTGTTTGTTATACACTGTAACATTTTAACTCTTGGATTCGAGTAACCTGGAAACGACAAACATGGACCACTCACTTTAACTGTACACTAACAGACAGGTCATTATAGGGAATACTTTGGCCAAACTGACCTCTCACATTTATTCGCTGTATTTCGAGAACTATCAAATTTACCGCAAAAACAGTAATTACCAAAAATAAAGGAATGGAAATTTTCTACGAAAAAGTCCTATACCATTTTTCCATATAATCAATAGTTCACACGAAATACGGGGTGACCTCTTCAAACATCTGAGTTCGACTTACAAGGACGCCACTGTAGTATACTATTCAGTCCACAGTGTTAACTATTCACTATACAGAAAAAATCTATTATACTTTTCCATAGGAAATTGTCTTACCTATATTTTTTATATAACTCATTTTCACGATAAACACGATAGTCTTCGAGATATCTTGGAAAATCTACCAAAACTGCTAAATAATCATCAAACAGAACGATACATGTGCAATGTTCTATGGGATCTCGTAATAGTATACGCAAACAATCCGATTGGCAAAAGTATTCCCATAATCGAACCCCAGGTACCCGTATTAATGAGGCGAATCTGGTGTAACGGCGAAGGTAATATCACGACGGAATTGCAGTTATACCGGATTAAAGTTCGTTGCACGTCTGCACGGTGGCTGACCTCTGGCATCGATCGGTGGGAAGGTTCGACCTTAATCGTGACAGGAAGTTTCGTGACCGATACAGATACGGATTCAGCCACGAGATACGTTCTTAGCGTGCTCGCCCCGAGCGGTGCACGGCGTGGGCGTCGGGGGAGTTCGTTCGCGTCATTCATGGCTCCGAACACGAACCTTCAAGGCTGAAAAAATCGCGCGTACATACGCTGATCGCTGATTATTCATCATCACGATCGGAATAACGTTCGCGTAATCCGTTGTAGCTGTTCCGTGGATTGCCTTTATTGGAAGGTCGAGAGGTGGGTGCATGTAACGCGAATGGACTTCTACCGTGGGGGAGCTCCTGAGAAATTGTTCGGAACAATATTAATCCCCTTCAGTCTGGACACGAATGTTATTTATTATCTCACTTGCAGATTCATGCAATCTTCGTAGCTAGAATCGTTACAATTAAAAGCCATATTTGGAACAGGGATGTATTGACGTTTAATATTTATTTATTATTCGTATTTT